TGATATCTCCGAAAAACTACTTGTAACAATATTACTGGTATCACTCAATTCATAGCTATCTAAACTGAAACTTTCATTATTTATTTCATTGGAATCATTGAAAGAACTATTGTATTCCATTTTATTTTTGATGTAAATAATACCAGTAATATTGTAAGGAGAAAAATATCATAAAAAATATTACAAGATTTTAAAGAAAATGTAAAGGTGTTAAAGGAATATAAAAAAAAATCCAGGTTTTTTTTTTTTTAATTATCTTAAATAGCTATATTTAAATATAGTTAAACTGTTAAATTTTATTTGAATCTAGCTAGATTTTAAAACTTGAAATCTAATCAGATACAAAATTTAAAATCTAATTAGATCAGATTTCAAAATTTGAAATTTGTATCTGATTCATATACAAACAGATCAAAAAATTTAAAATCTGATCTGATCTATTCAGATCAAATCCATGAATCATTTGAATTCAGATAAAAATTGCGATCCCTAACTAGAAGTGACAAGAAATAGAGATTTTTTTGATAGGAGAAGATTTATTATTTATCTTCTCATATACTATTTTGTACTCTCTTAAAATGTTTATTATTTTTCATGGGTTTTTTGGAGGATTTTGCCTACTTCAGTTTGACTCTGAATTTCTGGTAGCATAATGTCACCTGACATCTGATTGGTTGATATGAAATATATTATTAACTAAATATAAACAAGCTCTTATTGGTCATCTGACATGTTCTGATGATATCATTGATGATAGAAAGAATTAATTGGTGCCTCATGTCCATCCCACTTCTTCAATTGAATTAACTTACAGATCAAGTTCCATGAAATCAATAATATATAAGTAACAAGTCTCTAAATGGTAAAAAAGCTACTACTTGTTCAAGTTGAGATCTTTTTCTCCTATTATCCTAATCAGGCAAAGTTCAAGACCAAGGTCTTTCTTTTATTCTGGTCAAGCAATAAGACTGAATGGTCTCTAGTTCATACTAAGCTCTAACTCTTTGATTACAGTTAAGAATGTATTTTTCCAGAAGTTGTTGAAGGATATCACAATCGATGAGAATTCTTATCACTCTTAAGACTATCACACCATTACAAAACAAAAGAATTATTGAAAAATCTGGCTTTTTGAGTAATAGAAGATGTATATCAGTAAAATTCATTTAATTAGGTGTGGCTACTAAAAGGTATTATAATAAAACAATATGATTTAGTTCCTATTAGGTCACATAAGAACTTGAAGTTTATCATAAGTTGTTTGTTTACTGCAGATAGATAAAAAATTATTACCCAAAGAAGGTTGGGACCAAGTATGACCTGAAAGTAAAGACTTCTATTAGGCGATAAGTCTCTTTAGATAGTGCACAAGAAGAAAATCAAGATCAAGAATAGATAGGTTCTTTAGATAGTCAGAAAAAGAAAGAATATCTCAATTGAATATTTTTTATTGTAAAGAGGTCTTGAAAAACAGGTCTTTGGAGAAAGCTGAAAATATTTTTTTCAATTTTTACTCTTTTATTTTCTTGTTGTCTACTTAGATATTTTTAGATATCCTCTTTTCCCTTTTTTCAATATATTTTTTTGTAGTTTTTTGTATTTCAGTGGCTTGATCAGATATACAGTAATAACAACCTGCTGACAATAATGTAGTGGACTAGGAAGGTTTTCACCCAAAGATATTGTGGAGCAAAATATTGTTTTAAAGATTGAACTTAGAAGTTTTTATGCTTGCAATGAGTTAGTTAGATTAGAATAATAGTTTGGCTATAGTATATATTATACTGCTTGAATGAAAATGTACTTATATTTTCGATTAATTAATAAACTGACAATCTAGCCTTGCTACAGGTACTCAAAAAAAAAAATAATAAATATATAATTAGTTTAATAAAAGATTTTAAAAAATATACTAATATATAATTGAAATTATTTCATCATTAAATTAATTTGAATCAAATGATTATATTAAATTATATTAAAGATTTATAAATTTTTATTTTATGTATAATAATAAATTATTAAATTTATTAAAAATTTAATTATAGTATATATTACATAACTTGAATAATTATAATATTTAATTATATATTTAATTAAATTAATTAATTTTTAATTAATTATAAAAAATTATATATATATTTGATATGAAAATTCAATCCTACATCTCAGATAAAATTATTTAAATAAAGATTTAATTTAGGAACAATCAAATTAAATATAATTTTATATTGTCTAAGGATTTATAGATTGTAAAATAGTTACAAAGAATAAATTATTTAAAAGTTTTATCAGATTAGGATAGAAAAAGTATATAACAATCTACTGCAAACATTCTTTTTAAATAACAAATCCTAGGGTTTCATTTATACAGTAAAAGCAAAATTTAAACCAATTGAGAAATTCACCATGGCCAAAAATACTTCTTAGATATAGCATCAGATGGCTTGTTGCTATCAATAATCAAAACAAAACCAACCTGCCAGAATTTTGTTTAAGACACTTGACACCACCAATACTGAAATCTTTTGTACCGAATTTTTAAGGCCTATTAGTGCACTAATGAAAATAATATCATGGATAAATAAAGAAGCGTCATGCAAATTCGCAGTATATCATGAATCCAGATTGGTTTGACGCTGCAATGATAGAAAAGGAAATATCATTTTGCAAACAAAATTTGCTGGTAACCGAAAAGGGTAAGGCACTGAAGACATACTTGGTGGATTCAGCCCTGTTGGCTTTGATGGTAACGTGCCGACTCATGATACGTAGTTTTCTTTTTTCTTTGCATAGAAATGTCAGGGTCTCAATTTCTAGCAATTAAAAGAGCGCGGGCAATGCAGTTTCGAGGGAACTACTTGTGGATCACAGTATATTATAGGTAATTTTATTTTAGTAAGGTTATGGGACTTTACAAACCAAAAGATTATGTCGCCGTTAGAATCTACAGTGAGGACTTTTTGTGCAAAAAAGATTCAATAATTTGGGTTACGGTATAAATGTAAGCATATTAAATAACAATAATAAAGTATACTGTACTATGAACAATAAAACTAACAGTCATGATTCGGATGTTTAAAAAAATGGGAGATCGGCCGGTCTTATAAATAGCTAAATAAAACGGGTTGTATAAGTATTGTAACTTTATAAAGTTTTAGGAACAACCATCTAGTTTAGAAATGTAGTGATCTAAATGAGAAACAATTGTCATTTAATAAAAGTTAAAATTTAAACCCAAAGTGTCGGTGCATTATTTGCAAAGTGCTGTATATGGCCACTATTAAATAACAGATCCAGACCGTGCGAAGGTCGAGGATAGAAAGGACCGCGTGACTGGATAAAAGAACTACTCCATTCGGATCTTATTGAATTCAAACCCGACCAACCCGACCCATTTGAAACAATAATTTGGAAAAATATACTTTTGATCATATCTTAGAGTTCCAAAGAATTATGCATTCCTCGTACTTTTGTGATTAATTGTGCACATACAGTACGTAAAACGCGAGCATTCTTGTTTAAAAGTTTAGTTGAGATTAAAATATTAGCGCAATACTTTCGTATTACATATTTTTTTGTTGGATTTGGTATATACAGTATATCCATTATAAATCTAAAGACCATCTAATAAGATTGATGTCAACGTTAAAAGAAAAAAAATAATGATATTATAGATCGCATTGGATAAATATAATCTATTCAGTTGTAAACCTCCTAAACTAACATATCGATCATTCAATTATTTTTATCAATGTTAGCCATTATATGTTTTACGTATATATAAAAAATAGTTTAACGGAGAGTCTATCGCGCCGCAAAACGTTCCACAACACCAAGCCGTCATACAAAGTTCATCATCTGATCGGGTTTGATGTGTGGTTGTAAGTCAAATACGTCAACTTTGCGCTCTGGTTTCCCAGAAAGCGCGGTATGTTGACTTCGCAGGGTCACATGATACGTATGTTGGATATACGTATAGTAAATGCGTAACAAAATTATATTTTCGTTACACAATAATATTCGTTGTCGATTCCATTTTTGTATGCATCGTACGTATGGCAATTGCCGAGATGGTAGTGGGTGTCAAAGGTTATATATAGCATACGTTTGTTCAACAAAGAAAATATTGCACGCTATATGTTGGTTCAATAAAAAAAAAAGGGGGATAAAGGTTGATACTATATTTTGGAAATGAACGGAAAAAGGAATAGCATATTTAAGTATTACTTTTGTTTGTCCATTATCTCGTTTTTCTTTTGCCGGCATGTTTCTTGCAGCGTTGCAGATTCTCATTTTTCGCATGCATCCGCTTTGATCAATGATAAGTTATACGTAATGGGTGGATATGTTTCGGGCACTTCAGAATCTCTCATTGATCCGAATTTTTTCTTTCTCGATGTAACAAATATTCCTCTTTCCAATCCATTGACCGACCTTTCTCACCTTGCCGTTTTAAATGTGAGCTGGATAACAGCGGTCGCAGGGGGAACAAATAACACACAACTCATAGCTTATGGAGGTCATGAGACAGAAAATAATAGTAGTCTAGTCTTGCTATTCGATACAATGACAAATACATGGTCACGACCGATAATTTCAGGAACGCCTCCAATAAGGCGAAAAAAGACTCAGGCCGTGATCGATTCTGGCGGGAAAATGTACATCTTTGGCGGGTCCATAGATCGTCCAACTCTAAAATTTTATAGTGATATGTTAATATTGGACACGGTCTCCTGGACATGGAGTGTTTTGGTGTTTAATAATTCTCCTTCTCCGAGAGACAGCTTCACGGCCGTAATGCTATCTTCCGGGGTCATTGTTTACATTGGAGGACGCCTGTCGGATGGGAATCACGTTCCAATGTATCAGGTCTGTCAACTTATCTGAAGGAATGATTTGAGAATTTGATGTTAAAAAAGGAAATCCAGTGTTAAATAACATTCTTTGTTGATACCTTGTTTCTTGTAGATACATACATTCGACACGCTTACACTCTCATGGAATCTGATGGTGTGAATTTGTTTTCCATTCAACAAGATTAACTTCACAAGAACAAACCTAATCTCAATTATTCATTGATCACATTTTTAGAATGCCACCGGAACCATTCCCTCATCACGTTGCGGAGCCTCATCTGTTTTAAGTAAAGAAAAAAAAAAAAAACTTTCTTTCTCTTGGTTCGCGGACAACCTTCAAGTTTCTGATTTAAGGAATTATCTTACAGCGATTGATGGTCGAGTATTCATCTTTGGAGGTTTCGTGAGATCTGCCGAGGATCTTTATGAGGAAGCCTATCCCGATTTGGCTGTCTTAGATGTCACGAAATCGCCATATGAGTGGTCCATACCGCGAACAACAAATTCCGCGCCTCCATCGCTTAGTTGGCACACGTCTGCTCTGGTCAATGAAATAATGATTATTGCATCTGGTATATTCAAGTTCTACAGTATATCGATAGATGTTCCTTCACACATTGTTAAATTGCAGCAATTGATTTCCAGTCACAATTTTAATTGACAGGATTCATCGCAAATAATTTAAAAAACTCAATGACATATATGCTAGACACAAGAAGTCATGAGTGGATTACATCGAATCCCGTGCATAGTCTTTCGTATCAAATGATCAAACGTGATTCCAGTAGCAATAATACAATATCATCCTCCATCGGTGGGCCAGAGATTGTTGGTATAACGATTGGCGTGATAGTCTTTGTGATACTCATGGCGTTGTTTGCACTATGTTTTTATTTTCGATATAAGAAGGAAAAGGCCGCTGATTCATCGTCATCACCATCGGCACCTCCAGCAACAATAACGAATCGTGGACGGAATAACAACGATCAGCAACGTTCGAAGAAATCTCGAAGAACACGAAAAAAACAATTACCGCCTCAAAAACACATGATTCAGTATCAATTCGTCCCGGATTCACTCTCCTCATCATCGACCCCACCTAATAATAATAATCATTACCAAATCCCACCTCAACCTCAACCATCTGTCATGCCAACATTTCAACCATCTCCAATACAACAAAATTCGTTTCCTTCTCAATCACAACCCTCGTTTCAACAGCCTCCAGTAATGCCACAGTTTGAAGTAACCACAATCATATATACTTAGGTCTATTAATGCTAACAAACTTCTTTCATTGTGTGATAGATGAGTGAAACCAATTACAAGTTCTCTTTGAAATTAAAAAATTTAAATCTAACATCTGACTTAAACATTTCATCATCATTTTCGGCGAGCTCGTTGCGCCAAGAATTGACGCTTAAATGACAGTGGATATTATAATTGAAGGTTGTGCTTGCTTTGTTAGCTCCCAAACGATATTCGCAAATAACATTGAGGTAGCCTTTCTATTCTCTCAAGTATACGCATAAAAAAAAAAAACTCTTTTTCTAAGCTAGGCTTTCATCCAATATCACAAAAATAACAAACTACATCGTGTATCGTTACTCTCTGTTTTTCATGCTTCTCCGAGTCTAGAAGTTCGTTATGTTGTTATTGATAATTTTAAGAATTAGTTTGATCCGATGCAAGCATATGCGGGTCTCGTACTAGCAGTAAAGGAATGCCTGGGTTAAGTGACCACTCTCCCATCAACCACGGAAACAATCACGATACACAATCTAATGATCGATCATTCATGTTTCTGAATTGCATGCTAAACAGGTTTCGGCGGACGAGCTTGTTTCATTAGTCCATTATATGAACATGTTCCATCATATGAAAATATGAACATACCCCGGTAGATGAGTATACAGTATATCCCTGTAGATACGTAATACGTAGATTAACATTTCCTGATATATGATCATGTTCCAATAGATGAGCGTGTTTCGGTAGGTGGATATTGTTCTAGTAGATGAGCATGTCCCGGCGGATGATCATGTCTCGGTAGATGAGCGTTTTCCGGTGGATGGGCTTGTCCTAGTAAAAGAAGAGCTTGTTTCAGTAGATGAACTTGTCTCGGCGTAGATCTCTTGATATAAATGGATGCGCCGCCGCGTCTAAAACCACCATGTACGTGATTGACTACCCTTGTCGAGAAACGCGGTGTCACCATTACATGACTTGGAGTATCACCACCTGCTTTCTACGAGTTACAGTGGCAGACGAATGAATTTTTTTGCTTAAAAAAAAAAAGTGCATGCATATACTGTATATACTGTATACTGTATATACGGTGGTATTCCAATTATCGGGAATTGGGTCGTAATGATTTATCTACCAAGTTACGTTTGAAATCTTAAATTCAACCGGCTATCAACGACTCCACGCGAAGCCGAATCAACACGATAAAGGTATCACCACCCCAGACTCGTTCTCCAAGGTAGAGAGAAATGAAATAGGAAGGTGAACGATCGATGTCGATACGCGAAAATTTACCTCGCTTCGAGGTAAAACAAGAGCCGGGCGTACGTCGTATTCCGTTTGACAAGCCCGACGCATACAGTAAGTGGACTTCCGTGCTTGGATGTTAAGTGAGTTCACGAACGCAGTTTTTCGTTTAGAGAATTCAAAATGCAAAGGCATTCCTCAATCGAGAAATTCATTGTACTGTACGTATATGCAAACACTCATTGGATGGCCGCGAAATTTGTCAAAAAACTTACTTGTGACTACACAAAATCTCAAATACTTATCATAGATAAAGAACGATGAATAAATATTTATTTTTAGGTATAACACCGAGCACTTTTACATTCAAAGGAAAAAAAAATTCCAAAAACTGATCTAGTCTGCTCAAAAATCTCCGGAGGATGCTTGGTGAGTCAGGAGTCGACGATATGGAGGTGGTGAAAGTGGCGTTTGAATATTGGCAAAAGTGTCGTCTGACTGTAAATCCCTGATGTCAGTAAAAAGTGGCCGTGGCGGCGGAGCCCTAGTATGTCCGTCATCGAATCTATCATCAAACGGAGCAACCAAACGTTTGTACTCGATATCATCGTGAAGTCTGTTTCCTGTCGTGTCAGGAACAGCAGGTTCGCGAGGCATTGCAAACTGCTCTAGTGATCTGGTCTTATACGTTGTCACTTTCTCCGCCACGTAAGCAGAAGTGCTTTGCCGTGAGAATGAAGGCAACAAAGCGGAGGTGGAAGGGACTCTATCCCTCTCCACCACGTGAGCCACTCTCACGTATTCTTCCACGCAAAAATTCTTACCAAATCCCCACACGTAAAACTTTATACTTAGTTGGTGCGATATGTTGATGAATCTTCCTTGATAGGTGGGATGTATTTCATTCGGGATGAATAAGTCTACGGTTTGAATGTACCCGCCGAGAGGATACCGCGTGTTCGACTGTAATTCGACTAAGACGGCGGACTCTTGACGTTCAACGTGCTTGATCTCATTCTGCGAACACGAAAAATCCATCAAGGTCTTCAAGGTTACTTCCAACCTTTCAACGCCAACATCAGAACGCAAGAATCGTAGCATCACTGGTATCGATATATGACTACCTGCGTTAAAATATTTTTGAGGCGGCAACATAAGTGTGTATTCGATCCCGGTCGCCGATTCTCCGCATAACCGGTATGGCGGTGACAAGGTGTAATCCAGTGTCAAAGTACGTTTAAGAGGGCAGCGTATTTTTGCAGTATGCGAGCTGGTGCCCAGCAATCCCTTCGTTTGGACGGTGACGTAAAGCACATATTGGACGCTTCCCACCTCGGTGATTATCGTCTCTTGGAGATCTTGGGGAAGTTGCATTTTAAATGGGATGTCCAACGTGTTAATATCTTCGGTCTCTTCAAAAGCTTCCCATATCTTATTTGTCTGACTGAATATCGTTTGTTCTCCCGTGTACATAATTTTCGATCTCGATTGAGCACTATACCATGAAGTCTTCTCCTTTCCTTTCAACCGAAGGCAAACGTTTTTCACCGCGCACGCCTTCAGATAATTCAGGTGAACTGTGCCCACCAGATATGTATGAGTGTCTCCGAGATTACCTTGTTGAAAGGTGGACGCATCTTCCCCAAAGGAAACCGTGATGTTCTTGTGCGTCTTTATATAGACGTCCGGAGGTGGCTTATTTCGATGTGGGATGATTAAGCTTGCAAAGCTAAAATTTGAGCTCGTGCGTGATGAAGAACGACTCATTCTCATTATGTAATAATGTGTGTGCGTGATGGTTGTTTCAAAGGAGACGGAGGAAGCTCGTACGTGCAAACGGAGGGAATTTGAAATGAGTTGTAGCTTGGTTGGTTTGAATGTATATTTTCAATCAAAATTACCCACCCCGTAGGTCAACCAATTATACTTTTAAAGATAGTCCGATGACATTTGCTAATCGATTTAACCTTTTCCGATTTTTCTCTCGTCCATCATGATGCTATTACGGCAAAAAGTACGAGACATGCGTGACCACTCGGATTCATAAATCGGGCGTTCACCTGGATTATCACCACATCATCACATGTCTAGTGTGAATCTTAGAAACCAATTAATCATCAGGTAGACCATTACGCACCCGTGTAGCAATTCCGCTTTAGTCAATGTCTCCGTCAGGTAGGTACCACGCACGCATGCACGCTAAATGCCAAAGGTTCGTTTCATCGTTTTTCATAAATTGATCCGAATACGAGCGAGCGTTTGCATTGGGCAATGGATAATGGGTGGAGTTCGACCCTCGCATTGAGTAACAGTGACCGTGGAGTGGATTGTCCGAGATTTCTTGCCAAATCTGTGAGCGTTTGCCTTCCTAACCTTTGGTTCTAACAAGATGCTGAGTCAGAAAATTAGATGTAGAGCTTTTTAACATGCATTTAATTTCCCCCTGCTTACCAATCGGGAAATAGGATTTCCAAAAACGGTTTACGTAATTGTTTTTCCCACGTAGATCCCAAAGATCACTTGCTTACGTAATCACAGTCATGGTACATTGTTCATACACACGGAATTAGAATCAACCCTCACGCAAAATAGAAAAATCGAAACAGATGTTTCAGATTAATGAATTAATATCCTCCGGTCGACGTTCTTTGGTCACGAACAGACCAAGAAAAGTTGTCATCATTGGAGGATCGGGTTTCATAGGTAGGTACGCGTGCGTGGTTTCAAGTTGTTCATCACACTTTGTGATTATCCGCTTGTCCGATTGAACTCTTCCAGAAACCATCAACCTTCATTCAATCGTTCATCGCCAATTGGTGATGGCGTGCTTGCTCGCCTCACGAACAGGCCTCTTTAATCTCACACGAGTGAGTGTAGAGAATTGCGTAATCATCAATGTCATGTTTCAAAACATTTCATCCTAGGTAAATACGTCGCAAAAGCATTCGTTCAAGATGCCAACACCTCGATTCAATTGGGTTCGCGGCATAGCAAAAACATTGGAGATATGAGATCACTGGGTAATATATACTTTTCTTGGGTTCGCTTTGCCCGGAATAGGTGAACTGCGCGAATCTTGACTGACGCACCATTACTGATAAATGAATGTCGAACACCAAAAGGCAACCAGATTCTCCCTCCCCTATCAAGTGACGTAACCTCTAGGTCCGATATTTTGAGATCATGTGAGGGTGCAAATGTGATCGTGAATCTGGTGGGAATTATGCACGAGCGTCCGCCGAAATACACGTTTGAAAATGTTCAACATCAGGGTGCACGTAACGTCGCGTTGGCCGCCAATGAAAACGATGCCCATCTCATACATATCAGTGCTATTGGGGCTGATGCCGGTAGCGAAATTCCTTACGCTAGAACAAAAGGTGTTGGTCGAGATGCTCTTTTTTGGAGAAATTCGTTTCGTCTCAAGAAGTAGTCTCACCACCGGAACATCATTCATTACCCTGTTTTCAGGTCTAGGGGAAGTCGCGGTGCGTGAATTGTGTCCGGACGCGACAATTCTTCGTCCAAGTATTGTTTTTGGTCCCGAGGATGATTTCTTTAATGTAAACCTCCTCTTTTGTTTTTTCACATTTACACCCGGCCACCATTCCTCCGATAAATCTCAATCCCCAACTTCTTTCTATATTTAGAGGTTTGCAAGGTTATCAAAATTTCTACCTTTCATGCCGGTATTTGGTGGTGGGTGGACAAAATTTCAACCAGTTTACGTGTGGGACGTTGCCATGGCCATACTTAATGTGAGCGATCGCATTCAAAGATTTCGAGGAAAGACTTTTGAAATTGGTGGTCCAACCGGTAACATGGAATTTTTCAATTCGCCGCGCATTAAAATTTGTTTGACATACTAACTCTCCGCGATATCGAACGTGCAGTCTATACTTACAAGGAGATCATTAAACTTACCCTGAATCAAGCGGGTATAAGGCGTCCCATCATATCGTTACCTTGGTCGGTTGGCTTGTTCCAAGGTTTCTTCCTCGAAAAATTGCCCCCAAATTTATTCACCATCACCCGCGACCAAATCAAACTTCTTCAAAAGGACAATATAGTATCCGATGATCCCGATGTACTAAAATTGAAAGACTTGGGGATTGATCCGGCTCCAGCTGAAAAGGTAAGTTGAGAAGACGCATGATTCTCACAAAGTTACCGCACAACCACCCTGTTCCTGCGGATGCACTCTCATTACAAATATCAATCCAGATACTGCACACGTACCTTAGAAAACAAGAGATCACTACACCGAACAAGCGAACTCACCGACCCTTTAACGTAGCGGTCGAAGATGAAATCAAGGAAATTAAAAGGATTCGGGGAGAGACTTCAAAACATGCTTTAGATAAAGAAAAAGAGTATCAAAAATTACACGAGTGAAGAAATAATAAAAGGAAAATGACGATTGATGATTTATCAATAGTACTTCATGCGATGTCACGCTACCAAAACAGCCATAGAAAAGAGTTTGCGCCATACACATTGGCATCGTTGCATCTCCTTGTCTTAAAAGATATCTCGACCATAAAATGGGTCTTATTAGGAATAGCGAATCTACTTAAAGATGCAACAAAGATATCATTTATTTGCTAACGGATCAATAGAAATTATCGACCATGATTTGGGCATCAAAATAACTTGACCTATTTTTCAACTATAAGCTTTTGTTAATCATCAAATGATTTATGATTTTGTCTAAATCATCTGATTATAATTTTTTTGCTATCATTATTCTTCTTTGTCGTTATCATTAATTTATGCATTAAAAATTATATTCGAAATTTAATTTATATTTTTTTTGTAATTTCAAATTATGGAAATTGTATTTAAAAAATCAATCTCAAGGTGTTATAAATAAATAAAAAATTTTATTATAAAGAAATCAAAATTTTTTTCTTCAATTACAGTATAACCGTTTTTAATTATCAAATTGATTTTTTTTCTTAAAAAAAAAAAAAAATGGCAGTGCATAATTTTCAAATTAATTTTATGTTATCGATTAATTTCATTCTATTTATTTGTCCATTTACTTCTTGGAATTAAATCATTACAACCTGATTCATTTTTATGGATATACTGTATACCATAAGTAACAATGAAATGTGTAGGTTTTAAAACGTGATAAATTTATCAATAATTTTAATGAAAATAAAAAAGTCTTTAACAACTATTGTAGTACTAAATATACTTGTAATGATAATAATACTTCAAATCTTTTTAAAAATCTTGAAAAACCCCACCTGATAAAAATAAATTCATAAACTAGTAGCCCTTTATTTAAAATTTTTTTAATATCTCAAAGATTAATATAAATATATTCTTTAAACTTGAATTTATTTTTTGAATATATAAACTTAAAAAGATAAAAAAAAGCTTATATAATAGATTGTTATAAATCAATAATCTTTTATGACTATAGAAAAATCAGCATTTCATGAATTTATTCAAATAATTTTATCAAAACAAAACTATTTGCTACAACCATTAAAACATATATAATGAATGCATATTTTATTGATCAAATAAAAATTCAAGAAATTAAACTCTTTTCGTTGATTCTCTGACCACACACAAAAAAGATGTTCACAAGAAGTTTTTATACTTCTTTGCTAATAAAGTCTTAATACTTTCATTA